GTGATGTGACGCGTAAGGAGCATTCATTAGAATCTTTATTTACTATAATATTTGTTTTCTTTTCCATCCAATAGTTTTTTGAATTCTATGAATAAAAAGAAATTCCGGTCAGTAAATAACGTATTACAATGCGTTTCAAAATTAATGTACATCTACCTATCAAATCATTTCATTAAAATTAATTATTATGTACTGAGGGTTTTCGATATTGCTAGACCCATCTCTACGTAATGGCAAGATGTCGAGTGACACTAGCGCCGTCAACTTCAATAGAAGTAAACCTGTGACGTCGTAAGCGCTTAGGCGTCAAGGTCATTGTGTCATAGTTCCGGGCGACGCGTGCACGCACATTTTTCTTTCCCAGTGCAGTGCAAAATGACCGAATATGATTCGGATGAGTATATTCTATATTTGTTCGCCGACACAGCTAAAAGTTTGCGAAACCGAGAGCCGCAACGAATAGGTATTTTATGACTACCTAATATCCATCAAACGTGCCAGTTTTTCATTTGCATTAAATGAAAAATAAGCTATTAAAGTTTAGTACATCTGTATTAAAATAGTTACTTACCATCCATTTCCAAAACTACACATATGTTGCCACTTTTAATCACTACAAACAATGTTCCTGATCGTGACCTGACGTTAGATTTTAAATGTAAACTAAAACCAAAAGCAAACCAAACTCGATAGAAAGAAAGAAAAGCATAGACAACTATTCCTTACGAAATGTATCGTGCTTTGAACGCCAATGACTTGATATGAAGTAAACAGACTACGTTATGAAATGAATAGTGAAGTGGCTAATGTTACGAATTATTATTATTATCTCTAGCAACTCTATGCATGTATCTTCATCTCTGATAACGGATACCCATTTTTCTTAGTATAAATGTTCATAAAATAAAACAAATTACCATTATAACTTAACAGTTTGTATTTTTAATTGTAAATTTGAGTACCAATTTAAATTTACACATATTTTTTTTCATTATCGACATGATGTTACCGCCATCCCTACTTTCGTACTATACATTTATTATACATTTATACGTTGGCGTACGGCGACACATCGTGTTTAGTATAGCTGGGCGGCGAAAAGGTTAAAGCGCGTGCAAAAGGATATTTCGCCTTATAGCCAAAAAAGGGGGGCAGCAACGGGCAGACTCATCACCTGATGAGTGATCACTGTGATCAGACCAGAGGACAAGCGTTTATCGGACTTTTGGTAGTATGGCTATAGACTATAGAGAAATGATTGAGCCTCCTATAGCCTAATTCCCACAGCTGTACACAACGCTATGGTTTTTTCACTTAGCTTTTCTGCGTGGTCGGAGTGATACAACTCCGGTCGAGCCGGCCCATACATGCCGGCCGAAGCATGGCATTCCCACTTCCAATACATCTAACTATTATAAATACGAAGGTTCGTGAAAACGGCTTAAGGGATCGAGATGAAAGTTTGGAACAAGGCTAGATTATGGTCTGGAAGAACACATAGGCTACTATACCACGGGAACGCGGGCGATGCCGCTGGCAGAAGCTAGTGTAAGTAATATAACGTCTAGACAAGTAAACATATAGACAAGACACATTAACTACACCGCAGTAATATGTATGGGTCCTTATCTTTTTAACGCCATTGGCCAACAGCCAACATTGTTTTTCTTTTCCTCTGTAAAGGTTGTATACTGATTCCTTAGGCTGTTTGTTAGAATGCCTTCGCCTATCTAGAACAATAGTGTTGTCTATGGTATAACAGTTGTTAGGTAATATTGAACTTTGAAATTAAAGAGCTAAGGACGAAAACTGATCAACGACGATTGTTTGGCGGGCAAAAATTGACAGACATTTTTTTTATTTATGGCTTTGAGACAAAGCTTAATAAGTCTGGCACATTTTCATAGAAATCAAATGTAACACCACGCCTGCAGTTTCCCAGAAGGACAAGATACACATCATTACGTTGGCCGAGATCGAACCTGAGAATAGTTACTCTGCAGTCACACTTGAAACAGGACAAACGAAGTGGTCATGTGCGTTTAAACTGTCAGACACCGCGAGGACACCGGTTACCGCAACTTATTGTCTTTTAATTGTGTCTATAATGACGGTACTCAATGTGTTAAGTTTATAGTAGCTAAGTAGTACATACCTAGGTATAACTTATATATTATATAATTTACTGTTTACAACCAAACATAAAATGAAACAAATAGGCACTTTGTTGTCGTTAATGAGTTCAATGAGGTCATTAGGACTTAGGAATTAGGAATTTAGTCAGTAGGACAGGTGTCCTACTGACTAATTACTAATACCTATTATAAATGTGAATGTTTGTTAGGATGTATATTAGTATACGTATTAGTATTTGATAGAAAAATTATAATATGAAAGAAAGAAAGAGCATTTATTTGACAGTATAATATGGCATTTTCTCCTGTGCCGCTAGGTGCATTTACTTATAATTAGAAACATACACAATACACGTAGATCATGTGAGAATTGAACTCGTAACATGTTGCATGGCAGTTAGCTAAGCAGTCACTGTACCCTTTGTATAGGGAAAATTGTGTAGTAGCGTATGTCACTGTCGCGGAAAACCTAACGGGGCTCCGGCTCGAAGCGCAGGAGAAGGAACGGGGTGGTTTTTAGTCAGTAAGAGTCTGACACTCCCTCCCGACTCACCCAGGCGGGAGCAGTCATTCAATGATTTGCCCCCCTTAAAAAAAAGACTAACTATAGTCTAGAATACCAGACTTGAACTGCCGATAAAAACTATTAAAGGCTAATCCTCCGCTACGCATCCAATATGCTAATCTATCTCTGTACTAAGTTTCATTCAAATCCGTCCAGTTGTTTTAGCATGAAATAGTAACAAAACAACATACATACATTCTCAAACTTAATTTATTATTTATTTATTGTCAGACATGATCCGCGGGGGTCTCCCTACCCAAACCAATGCAAACTTTGGCATTTATAATAATAATATGCATATGTATGCATAAATCTCACTACCCATTTTTCTGTAACTAGGTAATAATGTTAAATAGTTACAAAACATTGCTTTCTTATTACTTCAATATAGATTAGCTCATAACTACACGATGCATGATAAAGACAACATTATCAATACTACAATATTATTCCATTATCAACTTAAAATAAAAATAAACAAAGTGACACAAATTACTTATCAAAAATTACATTACTTACCTAACCAATTTTAAGGAAAAAATCGCATCTTTCAAATATGTATTGTTGAATTAGGTCATGGTCTATTCATATGCAAAGTTTCATCCAAATCTGAACAGCTGTTTAGGAGATTGTGAGTCACAGACATACCACATGTAGAATTGAAAATGCTAATAGAATTTTAAATTCTAATACAATGGGAGGATAAGAATTATTATTGTGTTTATATTTACGATTCTGATTAGAGCAAAGTATTTTTAAATGATTTCAAATGTTTAAAAAATGCTATGGTGTTGTAAGGTCTACATTTTGAAAAATAAAATGATTAAGGCATGTTTCACAATGTCTAATTACCAAAATTTTTGTAGTTTAAGTAGTTAACACATTTTTTTTCAAGCGTTGCCCCACTCTAGGGTTTTCTACTGTGTTGTGGGTGCGTTTACAAACATACAAGTTCACATACACATGACACCCAGACCCTGAACAACAATTTGTGGATCACACAAAGAGGGCAGCCGGTTGCCAAGCCACCGCACCAACCGTGCCATCATGTGTTATATGGATAAGAAGTTCAATTATCCATCACTTTCTCTTACAGCAACTCTTTTTGTGTTTTGGTATATTGGTATGTTTGCAAACGCACCCACAACAGACGACAACGTGGGGCAACTTTACTCACCATTTTTATAGAAAAAAGAATCTGACCTTGTAAACCAGCCCTAAAAGGTCTAACATGTTAACCGCCGCGTAGGTCACCGGTGACCTACGTTAGCGGAGAATTTGCCTTCAGCAGTTTTCTGTCGGCAGTCAAAGGCATAAATACTAATTTACCTTGAATATATGTTTGGGAAAACCACTACATATTGTGTGAACTATGATAATAAAAAATACTTTTTGTCGTGTTTATTAAGGGTCATTGAGAAAGGTCTATTTTCAGTAGTTGAAGTCTATGGCTGATGTACCATTCCTCGTCATCATCATCATCATCATATAATCATTCCATGTTCTTAAGGACTTTAATGTGTAATCAGAACCTTACTGATTTTTTTACAGATCAACAATTAAATTTATGTTAAGTCTTAAGAGTTCAAAGTGAAATTATGAGCAGTATATTTAACTTAACAAAACATCAGTTACTTTTATTAGTCTATGAACATCAATTTAAACATAATTTTTTCTTCATTTATATTATGAGTCCCATGTAATAGGGAGTGAGCCTAGGGTCATAATATCAGACACAATTATCATAATACAAGGAAATTTTCGAAAAAAATTTAGTTGAATTTTTCCAAAAAGACAATCAACAATGATTGTCACAAAAAAAGGAAAGGGTCTTTATATGAACAATTTCATTACTTATCAGCCCCACCATATCAATGAACAATTCAGACAGGCATGTGATTGTTTATGGTTTAAGATTAAAAAAACAAATCTGGCAGTGATGTAACACTTTTATCTCTAGAATAGATACCATTAAAAACAAATTTGCTCTGACATAACCCAGAAAGTGCTTGACATATTTTGATGATTTCAACATAACTAAGTACAGAATATAGCTATGATATTTAACAAAATTTAATATGCTGTAAATGTTAATTGAACAAAGAGTATATTATACTATATTATACACACAATGGTGTTACTATGCAAGTTCTCATCGCGTAATTTTTAATGAATCTTGCATGCTAATTATTTTAATTCATTTGGCCAATCTCTACACTAACTTTCTCCACATTATTTCATGTTTCCACGCAGTTATGAATGAAATAGTTACTGTAACAATAAATTTATCTACCACTTACATCGTACGGTGCATTTTTCTCAGCGATTGAGCTCTTGTCTCGATCTGTAAAGAAGAAAAGGGGCCGATGAGCTTTGTAAAAATTGTCCTCGTTGTCAACGTTATTATCTTGTTACAAAGGGATTACAACAATGGAATGCGTTCTTGTATTATTGGATTTAACAATGTACTACCATCTTCTTCCGCGCCCGAAGGTCCAGTTGCGTTATCAGACTTTTTAGTAGCCGAAGAGTCCATCACTTCTATATGATCAGTATCTCCTGAAGCCATTTTTATTTTCCTGTTACATCCCCTATTTTGGAGTCTTTCCGCTGTATATTTGCACAATATTAATTCGCATGGCTCACATCACACTTGCATTGCTTACACAATGATTCACTATAATTTAATTAGAAGAAATCAATTAGTTTACGCGAAAATGCTCGCCCGAAGCATCCGTCTGACACGACCACTCATAGTAACTGGGTTGCAAATTAAAATATTAATATTTTTGCGTATAGACAATAGACCCGAGTGGGTGGATGGGGTTGTTAGCGGCACAGGCGGCGTTTGTTTATGTATTTTATGAATGAAACCAAAACGAACGATAAGTAAATAGAAAAGTATATGCTAAGTAACCGTATAAGTTATAGTAATTAAACAATGAAATACTATAAAACTTTGTTAGTATTATAATTTATAGAAAATCTAAAAATTGGGACTGTATTTGTATGTGTGTGTTTTTATTATGAAGAAGCAAAAGAGTTCACTAATTTACAAATATTAACCTAATATAAGATGAAAATAAAAATTGCTATAGTATTAACTAACTAAGGAATTTAGAATTGCTAATTATGAACATTTTCAATGGCAAATTTAGCAACGGCTAGTATATCTAAAGGTAGGAATGAAAGTTTATTATACCTTTTAAATTAGTATGTTTCTCATTCGTAATTCATTTATCAAGTAACAAAAATGATATTTGTTATTTATTTTGTTCCACTTAAAACGATTTCCAACTCTCTCGGTGTATGGGAGTCATAGGATTTTAAAACCTATCGTAGATTTTGAATATTTTAATATGGGAACACCATTATGAACAAACGCCATGTTTATTTCTTTGCCGTCAATTCGTTGCCGCGGTAAGATTTCTTAGAGGTTATTACTTATCTTGGCGTCTGTATGAATAATGTCATTAATAACATATAAATCATAACAATTACGCTGTTAAATAAGTAAAATTCATCAGTGCAATAACGTTTCGTTTCCAGTTTCTGTGAAAAGGCTGTGAGCAGTCGGAATTATCGGAATACATTAGGTATTGCAGCGGCGTTCATAGAAAATGGGCAAAAAAGTAAGAGAATACCAAGCTGGGGACTTTATCTTCGCTAAAGTAAAAGGCTACCCAGCATGGCCGGCCAGGGTAAGTGTGATAGACAAGTGATTTTATTGTCATTGTATGTTAAAATGAAAAATCTGTCCCCTTTGTGCTCTGATTGGATGTAAGCGCGGGAAGACATGTTGTATCGCGGTCCCGACGCCTTCGTAGTGCCCCAAGGTCTCAGAAAGCAAATAATGTCGTTATTATCCACATAATTAACATTTTTCATGTTGACATAGCTACTGTTCATGAAATCTGATAACATTGTTTTACTAAACCCAAGCTTCATATTATTTAAACTGTTTTTGATAATTATAGGATTATTTTCGCGCTTTAATGGTATTTCCTGTGCTTATTAACGAATTTTACACTCAAATAACAATGGATAAAACAATACTTTGTCATAAATTCAAAGGGGTGAATGACATTTCTGCTTTTTAATCAGATCATTTTTTTTGCTGTTTTTTAAACATAATAATGCGTCTGATAACTATAATTGAGTGTTATATAACTTGGTAACAACATTATTTCGTACTAGTTTACATAAATAATTGCTACAAATATTGAAAAGTACAATATATTGATCTGATAAGTCTTATCTGTCAGTTTATTATGTATTCTCTGTTTGGTAACATTTCTAACATTTTTTTTATATTTTATCTATACTAATATTATAAAGATTGACTTATATAATTAATAACTTCTCTATCAGACAAATTGACTAAAGAACTTTAAATGATGATTCATGTAATTAAATAGTCTTAAACTTTTTCTTACTTGTTCATCATCTACTGATAGTTCTGTCTACTTCTCTTTAAGGTAGACTTGTAGACATATAGTCCAAGTTAACACAAGCATCATAACCGATTGATGTGCATGTGTGCATAAAATTAAAATAAATTAATAATAGATACATTAATAATAATTTTATTTATTACGAAGGCATTATTTATATTAATCCTAGTATGACAGTTAGGAAAGTAGTCATTTTCTTGTTTCAGGAGTGTATTATATGAGTTTTACTTACATAATATAACGAATTATACACAAACCCAATAATTGTGAATCACTAATATCTGTTCGTACGAAACTCACTACATGTTGTTCGGCAGTTGCTTAACTAGTCATTGCACCAATTGCTTCTTTGGAAGACGTAACACGTTACCGGGAATCTGGCTGGATGAGCATGATTAGGGATGGGGTGGTTTTTAGTCATTAAACGTTTGATGCTCCCTTTCGCCCCACCCAAGTTGGGAGAAGGCTTTGAATGATTTTCCCCCTTACACGACGACACAGAGAGGTTAAATATAATTGTGAAAACTATATCTATTTATAAACATGAGGAAAAAGAAATTACTATGCTTCCATATTGTTTGATAATATATTCGGAAATAATGTAAATTTAGTTTTTATATTCTATATTGTTTTGAGGAAATGAGTTAAAGTTTTTGTAGTTGTTGCACCGTATTTGCAATATAATGATAAATTTTTGTTAAATGCATAAAATTGACATTTGCATGATCCAATAATTTTATTTTGTATTCTACTTTATATTTTGTTATGGGTTCTAACCTGTCAGTGGACAGCCACTGATAGATCGTACTTATAGCTTACTTACTTATTGTAAATAAAAACTAAAAAGGAAAAAAATAACTATAATTATGTACTGAGATATAGTTATTTTTTTCCTTCTTAGTTTATATTTTTTGTTTATCTTTAAGTTTTGAAGTCGGTTTTTTTAAACAGTTTTTTATTTACTACCTCTTTGGCCATGTAGAAAATTCTATTTATGGATGGATGAAAGTAGAGTAACGAAAGAAGTAACCAACGAGCATGCATGAAAAGATTGACTGTTGACGAAGCGAAAGAGTATGTACGAATTGTAGTAATTGGTGTTCCATAGTTTCTCTGCCCCCATGGGAGACAGGCGTGTAGTTATGTAATTATTTTTTGTATTTTGTAACAGTGCAAATAAACTATTCTTTCTTTCTTTTAAATATCGTTTAATTTTGTTTCAGGTGCACAAGCCGAATGGAAAGAAATATTTAGTATATTTCTATGGCACGGGAGAAACGTAAGTATTTTTAATTTTTAATTTATGTGTGTCTTTACCAATCACGAGACCACATTTGGGAGGCGTACGAGGGGCCGAAGTCAACTGTGCAGTGGCCCTTTAGACAACTTTAATCTAAATGTAATAGACACTAACCGGCGACTATCCCTGTATGCACTATAGAAATGTACCCAAGGACAGTCCCCGGTTAGTGTAGAACTATTGTAGATAATGGGAAAAAAGGCTGGTAAATTGGGAACACAAATTTAACCCATATATCCCCAAGCGTTCACAGGGGACCCCTCACCACGAACTACTTTATAGACCATATTTCCAATGTTTAGAGACGCCACGATACTTTTGTATGAACAAATTTAGTGATGATTTTCAGCGGGTTAATTATTACACTTCTCTCATAGTTACTATTACAAACTATTCTTTATACTGCCGATTTCAATAATCGTTCTCAATACAAAGATCTTTACATTAAGATCGATTTTAGACATATTTCTATAGAATTTGCCTGCCGGTCAACGGGTGGTCGCAACTACGACTGACTGGAGTTCGATACACGGGCCGGGCAAATTATTACTGGGGTTTAAAAAAAAATCTCAGTATTAGCACCGGGCCCGGTATATCACAATAGGTACCCCCCCTTTTACATGGGTCATAAATTGAAAAGCTGTTAAATTGTACAGTGGTATAATGTGCACCTCTGCCTACCCCTTCGGGGATAAAAGGCGTGATGTTATGTTATGTTGCTACCTATAGTTAAATATACCCACTGTTAAGTGATGTAATGGTCACCTCTACCTACTCCTTCGGGGATGAAAGGCGTGATGTTATGTATATAGAGTCAAAAATCAAGATTAATCCTGAGATTTTATATTAAAATCAGTTAATGATATCGATAGTCAAATTACACTACACACAATCCATCCATTTTAAACACAAAATTCTACACTTATTTTATTTACATACCGTTATGGAGGCCCAATCCCTTTCCCCCAATCTCCCTGGTCCCTTAATTGCAACAATCCTCAAATTATGTCTGCTCATTTACCGGCTATTCCCATATAAAACAAAACAATTTTTAATAAAAATAATTATATAATAATTTCCTATTTAATTTTATTATAATTAATAAGTATTTTTTCTTGTTTCCAGTGCAAATCTCTCCCCGAACATGATATTTGACTATGCGGAGAACAAAGACAAGTTTTTGACTAAAACTGTGAAACGACGGGACTTCAACGACGGTGTGAAACAGATAGAACATGATTTCGCTAATAATGTACCATTGGAACAAGTTATTGGGATCGGTGCTGAGGTAATAGACATCGTTTTTTCTTCTCCTCGCATATCATTTCTTCATATATTTTAATTTTTTTTAATAACGTTGCCCCACATTAGGATTTCCTCCTGTGTCGTGGGTGCGTTTACAAACATACAATATCACAAACACATCCGGAACAACAATCTCTGTGTTCCGTGCGGGAATCGAACTCACAACACGTTGCGCGGCAGCCAGTTGCCCAGCCACCGCGCCAACAGTGCAATAACGCGCCAATTTGCAACGTATTTTTTACGAGCAGAAAGTCCAATGTCTTTATGAGCTTTGACATGACTTTCATTCCATACGAGCCCCACCATAAATTTATTCACCACAATCTCCATCATCCATCACTACAATAAACAGCATTAATTAAAATTATGCCATGATTTGCAGATACCACCAGCTGAATCTTCAACTCTTGAAGCAAATGACTCTGTTGCAAATGATACTTTGGACGAAACTGGCATGGACACCACTGCCGCTGATGAAACTATGGCTGAAGAGGTAAGTAAATTATAGTGTTTTTCTAAAATCTTGTTTTAAGGCTTTGAATCATTGACTTGGTATAAATGTCCACTGCTGAGCAAAGCCTCTTCTCATACGGCTTCTCCGTGTTTATATATTTGAATATACTGAGAAAAGGTCCACACCTTTTCTCAGTATATGCATGTGGTGGTACGAAACTAGTTGTAGTTTCGTACCACAGAGGGGTTCTTCCTCACGAGCAGCGTGCGCGGTCACGTCGCGGAGTCTACCGCTTTTCTCAGTATATTCACGTGAGTAACCCGCGATTTTTAGTTAATTTAGTACTTTTTTATGGCATAAGCCGGTAAACGAGCAGACGGATCACCTGATGGTAAGCAATCGGCGTCGCCCATGCACACCTGGAACACCAGAGGCGTTACAAGTGCGTTACCGGCCTTTTGGGGATTAGGAGTTTGAGGATCGTTGGGGATTCAGGAATTGGGGAGATTGGGGAAGGGCAGGGTAATTGGGCCTCCGGCCTCCGTCGGTTTTCTGTGAGGCCGTGGTATCACTCCGGTCGAGCCGACCCATTCGTGCCAAAGCATGGCTCTCCCACACTTGTATGTGTCACGATAGTTATTATAAAGGTATTTTCTCTTTCAGCCAACCCTAAACACGACTCAAAATGACACCGCAGTGGAAGATTCAGATGACACAGGCAACCTGGTCATCGATGAAGGCAAGGTATGTTCATTAACTTCATTAATTACGCAGAATAAATCACCCCTTCTCTTCCCCACGTATCCTAAGAGCCGACTGATGGGAAATATTTAACGGAGACAGTTTCGGAGATCAGTGTTCTCTGATGACGCTTGTAAACTGCGACCTCTAACCCATGGCTAACCAAACATGAGGCGCATACGCCTGAATACTGAATGGCTACTAAATTTTAAGGTGTACCTAAGTATTGCCAAGGCTGCCTCACTGGCCGAGTGGTCGCTAATGCGACTGCTGGGCTCGGGTTCGATTACCGGGTTGAGCAAAGTATTACTGGGTTTAAAAAAAAATTCTCAGTAGTAGCACGGAGCCTGGAATTGTGCACGTTGTATGACAATAGGCTCACCCCCTATTACATGGGACTCGTAACATAAATAGTGAAAAGTGGGTGTCACAGTGTATAGTGGCATTATGTAAGTGCCGTAATGTGCACCTCTGCCTATTCCTTCGGGGATAAAAAAGGCGTGATGTTATGTTATGTTACCTTAAATATCGTGGCGTCTCTGTTATTTTACGAAGAAATTGTTGTGACAGAACCATGCTTAAGCACTCACTTAAAAGCGTGTGGCGTTTGAGTATTTGCTAAATAGTCTAGCAATATACTGTCACAACCACACAGTTCTTTTAACATAAGAATAGGGATGATGACAGGGTATGAAAATTAAAAATGTAATTAGTCCGTCAGTTAGATAATTAAAAAAGATTAGACACGTATTTTTTTATTTTCTCGAATAAAGTTGCAATACTTAGATAAAACGAATCAAAGTTTAGGAGTGGGGGCTAAAACATCATTTCTACGTATAAAATGTACATAGAAGTGACGTCACGCGACATTTCAAATCAATATATCGTCGAAAGTATTCGTTTCTGTTAGAAAATAAAAAATACGTGTCTAATGATTTAAAATAATCTACCAGACGGAAATAAAAATAAAAATTAAGCATCTACCCTATTCTACTAATAAATAATTTCCTATCTAATATTTTTCCTTTTTACAGCAAAAACAACAGCCCAAAAAGGTGAAACCGGAAACCAAAGCTAAGGAGACTCCGGTGAAACCCGTGAAGGAGCCAAAGACTCCTCGGGGCAAAGGGAAGAAAGATGAACCGGCTAAGGACGATGATGAAGAGAAGAAAGAGGAGGAGATTGTCAGCAGAAGTGGACGGAAAATACGACCGAAAAGGTACGGTTTTATATACATAATTACTAGCTTAACAGCTTGGCTTCCGTTCCCGTAGCCTATAAGTTATTGCAGAATACCATCTACCCCTGTTCCAAATATCATACCGATACCTATACACAATAATACACATACAAACTCACATTTACAATATTAGTAAGATTTATTAACTACTGACTTCTGCCCGCGAATTCGTGCAGTCTCGTTTTCTCCCGTTCCCGTAGGATTTTCAGAATCTTTTTCTGTCATAAGAACCTTCTCCTGACAATAACAAACACAACAAAAAAAATCAGCCAAATCGGTCTAGCCGTTCTCAAGTTATGGCGTGACAACGGGTAACGGATTTCATTTTTATATAGGTATAGATTCCCGCGCGTTTCACCTGCTGTTGGGCTTCTACTATTTGTAGCGTGTATTATATTATAAATGGACTATCCAACACAAAAACAATTGTTTTTATAATAACTATCGTACTTAAGTGAATATACTGACAAAAGCTCTTCTAGTTTCAAACCACAGAGGGAGTCTTCCTCATTAACATCGTGCGCAGGCTATGTCGCGCACCCTACTTTTTAGTTAACAAAAACAATTATTCAAATCGACCCAGCAGTAGTGGAGAACAGAGCATTTAAAAAAAAACTAACACCTATATGTAATAGGTATATATTGGATTGTAGCTTTGTCTACACAAATTGTCAAGACATCAATTTGTGTTGTACTGATCCATATAATAAATTGTCATTTGCCGAAATGCAGTTTCTGAGATCTGAACTGCGTTTGCGATTGTGATATACAAGTCTTTCGTCTGCAGTGGCAGTCCCCAGCTGGACTATGAGTCTCCTCTACTTAATCTTCAATCTCCATGCTGGGTTGGGTTTTTAAGGGAAAAGGCCGCTACAGCCTCCCAAAACTGCTGCATCTCCTGTAAGCCAAGATCTACAGGAGATAGATTTGGGCTGGGTAGGCAATCGTAGTTTAAATGGTTCTAGATTATAGTGTTGCTTGCTCTCTGTCAAATATGTAGTGCTTGTGATAAATATATTCCACTTTGTTTTTGTAGTAACTTTTTTTATGGGATTATCCGGTAAACGCGCCCATGGACGCCTGGAACACTAGAGGCGTTACAAGGGCGTTACCGGCCATTTGGGATTAGGAACTTGAGGATTGTTGGGAATTCAGGGATTGGGCCTCCGGTAACCTCACACGACAAAACACAACACAACGTTGTTTCACGTCGGTCTTCTGTGAGGCTGTGGTATCACTCCGGTCGAGACGGCCCATTCATGCCGAAGCATGGCTCTCCTACACTTGTATATATTATAACTATCGTGAGACATACTACATTAACTAAAAATCGCGGGTAACTCACGTGAATATACTGAGAAAAGCTCTACTAGCGGCGATGTCTCGCAGCCTCGCAGCCATTACTACGAGTTGAGTAGGCTGCACGACATCACCGCGATGGCCCACGCTACTCATGAGGAAGAGCCCTTCTGTGGCTCTAACTAGTAGAGCTTTTCTCAATATTTACACGTGATTAACCCCCGTTATTTAGTTAATATTCTAAATGGGCTCTTTCGAACGATAGGTACTCACAGGAAGAGTAGGGGTAGTATGCTGACAAATCTGTTGTACTCTGCTGTCTCCATACGATGTTTTTTAATACATAACATAACATCACGCCTTTTATCCCCGAAAGGGTAGGCAGAGGTGCACATTACGGCACTTAATGCCACTGTAATGTAACACCCACTTTTCACTATTTATGTTATGAGTCCCATGTAATAGGGTGTGAGCCTATTGCCATATACCGGGCACAGTGCCAGACTCCGTGCTACCACTGAGAAAAACCCAGTAATACTTTGCCTGACCCGGGAATCGAACCCGAGACCCTTGCCCGGCAGTCGCACTTGCGACCACTCGGCCAATGAGGCAGTCTTTTTTAATTCATTTGAAAATTCTATTATTATTTTCTTCAGGTATATAGACGAACAAACGGAGGACAACGCAACGCTCCCGTCACCGGCGCCAAAGAAACGTCGTGGTGCGTCCCCAACACCGGATAAGGAGAAGGAAAAGTCTGAGCCCAAAGAAAAAGTACCGGATAAAAATATTAAACAGTTCAATGCTGTTACACAGGTATGTTAAAACGAGTAATAACATTTTAAATTTTAAAATGTTAGGCTAGCAAAGTTTGCGTTCGTGAGTGAAGTTACCGGAGTCCCAATCAGCCTCCTCCTCAATCTTCCCAATCCCCGAATCCCTAATAATCCTCCAAGTTCTAATCCCCAAAAGGCCGATAACGCACTTGTAACACTTCTGGTGTTTTATCAGATGGTGGCCATCAGATGGCTCATTTGCAGACTTATTCCATTAAAAATCAGAGAAAAACTTATTACGCATTATTATGCATATGCAAACATGCAAATGCATGTAATCCGATGTCTAATTATAACAAACGAATTTTTGCGACGCGAGGATATTGACTTGATATTTGTATTTCTTTGCAGTCTGAACTTGAAGATCTGAAAGAGCCGTTTAAGTCAGGTAAGGATCTTTCATTTACCATTCTATTTATTTTTTCCTTTAAAAACTCGAAGGATTTAGCAAACTTATAATTCAGACATATTCGAAGACTAAACATGATTTAGAAATTATACTTTTACACCGACCCGGGTTTTGAACCTAACACTGAACTCATGATTAAAAGCCGGGTGCGTAACCACTTGACCAATACAAATGTTAAGAGAAGAAAAAAAAAGTTAAATATTCCTCAAAATAAAAAACCTCTTTTCCAACAAAGGCTGAATGCGATCATATCTTTACTAAAAAAAACACCGCGTAAACGTGTTCCAATTTCAAATATTTTTATTTACCGCGAAAATATTGAAGTTTCGTTTCTTTATCATTTTACTCTTGTTTTATTTAAAATTACGATAAATATGGACGACATGAATCACGAAAATGGTCAATTTAGTTTGAAAAATGACATATTTAGTCAGTTTGATGATAATTTCGTGACAGACGATTATTTGAAGAGCTATCAAAATAGTATTGGATCGTGTGACCTTCAAAAGTGTGAAGGTAATATTTTTCACGAGTAATTGATATTGATTATTAAAATTATAATATTTTAATGGATGTTTATAATTAACTTATTTAAACGAAGCGTGCAAACGAAGATATACAAAAATATGTCTTTAATTTTGATCAATATGAATTCTGAAGTTAAAAGTGTATCGACATTCATAAAGCACTTTGAGTATCAAAATTATTGTACTTTAATTAGTTATTTTTGTTGATGAAATTGACATTTTTTATTACCAGTACTTTTGAGTATATATAAAATTATAAATAATAATAATTTCTTAAAATTTTTAGATGTAAAACCGAAACAAGATATAACACAACCTTTGTGTCAAACTAAAACAATACCAACATTTGGAAAAAAGAAAAATTTCAAGAAAGATGATAAAAAGTCAGTTTCTAAACCTAAGAAATTTGTTCCACCTATAAAAAGCACTATAAAAAACAATGAAAACAATACTACAACCAACACTGGTTCCAAACAAAGTTTAGACCAATCTTTGCAAGAGACATTCGATTTGAACCAAGATCTTATGCCCAATGTTTGTGATACAAGTCTGACGGAAATATCACATAATAACAACGATATTTATACTTTTCCCGGTCTACTAAATATGGAAAATACTACAAATATAACCAATATAGAATATACTGAATTGAATGTTGAGCATTCTCAACATTTAGGAATACTAGATGAAACGAATGCCACAGATCCTCAAGAATATACTAAAGTGACTAAGAAAATAGTTTCCCTACCAAAGAGGATGCATTCAAACAAATTAGGCAGTATCATATCAAGTTCCATAAACATTTTAGAAGACGAAGACACAATAATAGATGAAAATTTTGAAACATTAACTCAAAATTCAAATTCGGATAGATGTAGTGTCAAAAGTTTGTCTCAAAATCAAAATTTATCTTTCTGTTCAGTTACATCTCTAAGTAAAACATATAAAAACTTAGATTGTAATAGGTTTAAAACTGATACTCATAGAATACCACAAGGCGAAGAGTTTTTTAATCTATTCAAAAGTAATATTGTCTGTGGTGATGTCAAAAAGGGTGTACCAATGACCACAGAGTATGGCGATATAGGTTTTAATCTAAAATATTCAGACTATATTAAAAATGTAGGGGAAATTTATGAAAGAACTGATGAAGAGAATGCAATGATTTTAAAAATTGTTAATATGTATCCTAAAGAGAATAGTTTGATTACAAAAAAGTTGCCTAAGTAGAGTTTTAGGAATAAAATTTATGTTTTAATATTGATTTGTGTTTGATTTTGTGTATTCAGTAGAATTTGATGAAAGGCTATTTTACTCGTCGAGTACCGGTTTTGTAGACACAATTATAGAACAATAGGTTGCGGTCACCGGTGACCGCTTGGTATTTGACAGTTTAATAATAACAGTATCTACAGTAAATAAATTTAGACCTTTAGTATTATAGACAGCATAATTGGTCGAGTGGCAAACGCTTCCCGAATAAGAATTTCCGATTCCTGTGTAAGGGTGTAGGGCAATTATTAAGGCAGCCCTAATATTAAAGTAGCCTGGAATTGTCTAGTGCGTACCCAAAGGCTTCTTTACATAACGCAAAAGCAGTTCCAAAGTCTAACAAGTTCCAAAATAACTTTAAAAAGTTTGTATGTTTTTAAGTATTTGTTTTTAATTTTTTTATAATTATTCTTACGCTCGAATACTGAAAGGCTAGTGTAGTAGGAAAGGAATAGTGACAGAACTATATCTACTTAAGTGCAATTTAAAATTTAGTAACTTTCAGTATTTGGGCATTAGAATTTCAAGTCTGAAAACAAACAGCTTTCAATTTAATTTTAATCTATGGATGACCACCGTTCTTAACCAAACTGTGTTCTTGACTTCTCCATGAAGAGGTTTTAACCCAATCTGCCAATAGGGATGATGACAGGATATACAAATTAAAAATCGAATAAGTTTGTCAGTTATGAAAAAATATAAGACACATATAACATGTAAACAATACTTAGATAAAACGGTTCAAAGTTTAGGAGTGGGAGCTAGCTACGTCATTTTTGAGTATAAAACGTGCTGAAGAGTGACGTCACGCGATATTTCGAATCAATATACCGTCTAAAGTATTTGTTTCGTTAAGAAAATAAAACATACGTGTCTAATGTTTTTAAATAATCTATCAGACGGACATTTTATAAAAAATTGTCATCTACCATACTATAAGCATTTCATTCAACATCCACAGAGGATGCAGAAAAAGAAAATATACTCATAGCTTACCTACCATCGGGGCGGTATGTTGGCATCAAACTCTTCCAGTCAAGACCGAGCAGCTTCAAGAACGAAGCCTCAAGGCTGCAGTGGGATAAGCAGGCTGCTTCCAACGCTGTCACGTTGAAAATGCAATTAGGTAAGTTTTAACTAACTATAAAATTAAGCTTCTGCCTGCCACCTTCGCCTGTGTTCCCCGTATAAAAACCTATGTGTATTTTCCAGACTAAATCAGTCTCTGTACCAAGGTTCAACCATTTCCCTTTAGCCGTTCAGACGTGATTGAACAAGCATACACACAAACAGGAACTTCCCATTAATCATAGACTAGCTACTTCCGAGCGGTTTCACACGCTCTACTCAGCTCCTATTGGTCGTAGCGTGATGTGTATAGCCTATAGCCATCCTCGATAAATGCGCTATCCAACACAAAAAGAATTATTCAAATCAGACTTGTCGTTACGGAGATTAGCGCGTTCAAACAAACAAACTCTTCCGCTTTATATAATAGTAGAAGATAAGAGTATAAGATTAAGTTTGATGAAATTATAATTAGACATTATAAACTGAGGTGTCACGATGTTTTTCTTCACCGTTTGTTAGTGGTGTCTAAATAACCTTAGAAAGTACATATAACTCGGAAATAGTCACATTAGTACTTGCCGTTGGTAGGTTTCGAGCCCGCACCTTCATGCATTAGAAGCGGGCGTCTTAAATCTCCGAGGCCACCCCGGAATAGTAGGACAACTTACTATAACTACAAATACTAAGAAACTATATTTGTTTACAGAAAAAGGTCACATATCATATAACTCAGTCGTGGCTCAGCTGGTAACGGATCTGAACCTCACTGACGAAGAGAAGGCAACCCTCGACAAAGAAAGGGAAACCGGTGAGTGTACTTTGTATTTTATATTCATTTACATAATTGGGTACTTGCCTTCATCAAAAAAAAAAAAAATATTTCGACTGTTAAATACAATAATATAATATACAAGGATGTTCATGATTTTTTGAGATAAAACGGCTAACGAGCCGACGAATCACCTGATGGTAATCAATCGGTACCTCCCATAGAGAGACACCTGCAATATCAGACCTTTACAAGTATATCAAATGGTTTTTGGTCTAAACCTTAACACGTAACATCATTTACACTATTCACGCAACGCTATGGTTGTTGTCGAGCCGGCCCATTCGTCTAGAAGCATAGCTCTCTACGTAAAATATGTATTGATATGTTTAATTGAGACAACATTGTTTTTCGTTTTACAGAAGAGAAGAAATCTCGAGTACAGTTCTTAAAGACTGAGATGAAGATGATTGAGCTGGACGCAAAGATCAAGACTTGTTTGTCGTTAGAGAAGGCCGAGACTGACACGTGTTTGAAACTCCTCGACGATTTATTGGGTAAAAGCTTTAGAACTTATTATAATTAACTGGAACATATGTTCGTTTCACCATCGTCGGAGAACCTAACGGGTTACCGGGGCTCCGGCTCGACGTGCAGGAGTAGGAACGGGGTGGTTTTTAGTCAGTAAGAGTCTGACACTCCCTCCCGCCTCACCTAGGTGGGAACAGTCATTTGATGAGTTTCCCCCCTTAAAAAAAACTACCAGGAGACGAGCGGGGCGCCACCCTTATATGGTGGACATTCCATCCATTCGCAGGAAGCTATTAGAATAGAACTATTGCTCAGAATGCAGGTATTTACAATAAGGTGATATTAAAACACTAATAAGATATCCTTCAACATTCTACCATTTTGGCATGCAAACATTGATGCAGGTTCATCACCAGATTTTTTTTTTAAATGGCATAATCCAGTGAACGAGCAGACGGATCAGCTGATGGTAAGCAATCGGCGTCGCCCATGGTTTTTAAATTCTCAAATCTATTGTTGTATTGTTGTGCAAGCCGCTAAGGAATGGAATTCCTTGCCGGACTTACATACAAAATAGTAATTCTTAGTTATATACATAGCATTAACTCGTCGAGTACCGGTTTTGTAGACACAATTATAGAACAATAGGTTGCGGTCACCGGTGACCGCTTGGTGTTTGACAGTTTAATTAACAAACCAATTCACTTTCAGCCTTAGACATAAAACCTCTAATGCTGCTAAAACATCCGACCTGCTTGGAGACTATCAAAAGAATGCGCGCGTACGTTGGCAACACACCGTCGTGGGAACTGTCAGAGAGCGCCGCGCTAGTGTTCACCAAACAAGCACACAAGATCAGGAAACAGGCTGATGCTGTATATAAAAAGATGAGAGTGAGTTTGGAAACTGTTTTACATATTAACTCGTCGAGTACCGTCATTATAGACACAATTATAGAACAATAGGTTGCGGTCACCGGTGTCCTCGCGGTGTTTGACAGTTTAAAATAGCTTCTGACCGCGGCTTCGCCAGCTATCTCGTGAGAGATTTTTTTTAAAGAGTTAAGCCGGTATGCTTGCTGACGGATCACCTGAGGGTAATAAGCAATCGGCGTCGCCCGTAAACACCTGGAACACCAGAAGCGTTACAAGTGTGTTACCGGCCTTTTGGGGATTCAGGGGTTGGAGAAGGGGGTAATTGGGCCTATGATAACCTCATTCACACGACGAAACACAAGGCGAGCGTTACTTCACGTCGGTCGTCTGTGAGGCCGTGGTATGACTACGTTCAAGCCGGCCCGATATTTAAAAATGATTCGGTCCTTATAACTTTTTATTTTGTTACGTAAAAAATATTATTTGTTTCAGGATCTTTTCACACCATTGGAAGGTCTGTCATTCTGGGAGTATTTCACGAATCGGGTGATGAGATTCAAGAAGGCTACAGGCAACCTCAGCGCTGACGAACTACTGGAGTTAATACATGAACCTTTTGGTCAGTAAATACATTAATTTCCTATAGGAGACGGCGATTGAGCAAACATACTAATGTGACTGTTTCAAAGTTGTGTACTTCCTAATTTCTAAGACACCAGTGACATACTGCGAAGGAAATCCTTCTGATGAAACCTGTACTTACCTATTTATAATTTCTAACTAACTACTTCCTCGCGATTTCACACGCTCTGCTCAGCTCCTATTGATCGTAGCGGGATGTTTTATACCCTATAGCCATCCTCGATAAATGCGCTATCCAACACAAAAAGAATTATTTAAATCAGACTTGTAGTTACGGAGATTAGCGCGTTCAAACAAACAAACAAGAAAAACTCTTCCGTTTTATATAATAGTATCAGATTATAAGTTTGATATTGCCAACACGCCTTGAGTAAGCGTGACGATTAATGCTCAAACATTCTCAGTGTGAGATATTTTTTTTTATGATAAAGTGTGCTAATTTTGTTAACATTATCTCATTTGTGTTACAGTAATGTCAGAGACAGCATCAGTAGATATGAAGGAGGCGGTCGACACAGCGAACGAAACTGAACAGAAAGAATTACTACAGCCTGATGGAGAAGATAAAAATAAAAAGAAAACCACACCAGGTTGGTATTTAACACATCATATCCAAAACTAGCTGCTTTTTCACCATCATTGCTCGGCTCCTATTGACCGTAACGTGATGTTTTGTAAGGGCGTCCATAAATTACGTGAGGTGATTTTTTTAATTTTCTGTACCTCCCACCCTCCCCATCCCCAATCTCACGTGAGATTTTGAATCTCAAAATGTTGGTTTTTCATGTAAACGCATTGGATTGTTATTATAAAAAAGAAGAAAAATGCTTCGTGCTTTTATTAACGACTAGTTAATACTAGTAGTCAATATTGCTAAGAGTTATAAGTGTAATAAATATGTAACAATCTAACAATAGAATACTACACGTATAAAACAAATGCATTTACAACTATATCTTAAGCATGTACATACAATTTGGATTAAATGGACTAAAATAGTATAATTTTTGTAACTGAAATAGTATATATTGTAGCTATTAAAATAGCATTCAGAGTACGGAATATAAAGCAGAACTCAATACTATTTAGTTCATTAAATATAGGTACACGCAATACGGATGCAATGCCCCCTTGCCCGGCAGTCGGACTTGCGACCACTCGGCCAACGAGGCAGTCTAAATTCATCTTACAATTTTATTCTAAACACCAAAAATATCTCCACAGCGAAAGCAAAGAAGTCATCGTCAGCGAACAACGTATCAAAAACACCAGTAAAGAGACAATCCTCTAGAAAATTACAAGATGACAAAGAAAAAGAGAAGGAAAAAGACTCAGAAACGACAGAAGCAGAATCGACAACAACTTTGACAGAACCAACAGAAGCAGTAACTACACCAGAAGACCAAGAAGAGACGACAAAACCACAAGAAGACACACAGAAAGTAGAAGAACGTGAAAAGACCCCAGAGAAGACCCCAGAAGTGGTTGAAAGTGAGAAAGAAAAAGAAGTAAGCGAGGAGAATGGTGATTTGGGCAATGGTGAGAAGGCAGAAGAAGAAGTTGAGAAGGAGAAAGTAAAAGAAAAAGAAGAGGTCGGTGAGCCTAGAGCGAAACGATCGAGAGAGGTCAGTTGATTTTAAAATTATTTATTGAACTTACAATGTATGTATGCGTGTGTATGAAGTGAAATCTTGTGGAAGCTCTCATTTTGTATACACGTTTAGTTTGGTTGATCATAAATGCTGTTTAATTCAAATGATATATTTCCTGAAGGGTATAACCTGGGTGTCTTCAAGGCCCGAGTGAATAGGTTGCTTATGGGTTGACGTGCTACATCGTAGACCGCATGATCGCTTACCACGAGGCGAGATAGTGGACAAAAGTCGGCCAATCAAATATAAAAAAATAACTATCTTGAGATTAGGTATACTTAAGTATCTATTATTTTATTTGCATTATAACTCTCGTGGGACATTCATAGTTAAATAATTATAATTCTATATAACTAGATAATTTAAAGGCTATCCACGTTGCGTTATTAGACGAACAGATGCAGTTGTTAAAAACAATAGACAGATATAACGGCCTTTAGCCAAACGCCACTTTCTACAGAGAGAGTAGAAATCAAAATGTATGGGGATGACACTGACAAGTGTCAAAATTTATGTCAATTCCATATAATTTGGTTTTCTATTCTACATGTAGACAAGCGCTAAACGGTATTTGGCTACAGCTGCTGTTTTCATTGTTTCTAAACAAGATGCAAGCATTTGTCATTTGCAGACCGTCTATTGTTTGTGAAGAATGCATGCATTCGTCAAATGACGCATCGTGGACAGTAACCCTAACTCGATTATGAATCTACCAATGAAGCAGACAGATTTAATTGTATTTTTGAAGGTAACATTAGTATTTGGGTACTTGACTTTATTAAAGTTACTAGCTACTTCGGCGCGGTTTCACACGCTCTGCTCAGCACCTATTAGTCGTAGCGTGATGTTTTAGCCCATAACCAACCTCGATAACCGCCCTATCCAACACAAAAAGAATTATTCAAATCAAACTTGTAGTTACGGAGATCAGCGCGTTCAAATGAAGAAACAAAAAAAAAACAAACTCTTCCGCTTTATATAATATAAGATTACAGATTTATGCTAAACTAAGATAGGCGACAGTGTATTTTATACCCATTTAAAAAAATAATTATTTTATATAAGATTAGGTACCCGCCCGTGGTTCACCCGCTATTCGGCTCCTATTGACCGTAGCCAATTTAGCCTATAGCCTTCCTCAATATATAGACTATGCAACTCAATATAACTATTCAATTCGATCCGGTAGTTTTAGAGATTTTCTGCGCATTTATACAAACGAACTGTTCAGTTTTATAATATTAACATAACATACATAAACATAACATCACGCCTTTCTATCCCCGAAGGGGTAGACAGAGGTGCACATTTCGGCACTTAATGCCACTGTACAATGTAACATCCACTTTTCACTATTTATGATAAGTTCCATGTAATAGGGGGTGAGCCTATTGCCATATACCGGGCACATTTCCAGACTCCGTGCTACTACTGAGATTTTTAAAAAACCCAGTAATACTTTGCCCGACCCGGGAATCGAACCCGAGACCCCTTGCCTGGCAGTCGCACTTGCGACCACTCGGCCAATGAGGCAGTCTTATAATATTAAGTACATTATATATGCCGCGGAGAACTAAACGGCTTACCGGGGCTCCGGGTCGAAGTGCAGGAATAGGAATGGGGTGGTTTTTAGTCAGTAAGAGTCTGATACTGATTACTGCTCCCGCTTTACCCAGGCGGGAGAAGTCATTCGATGATTTTCCCCCCTTAAAATAAGTACATTATTTATTCTTCCTCATAAAGAGTCGCATACATAATTCGCTTACTGACAAACAATATTTCACACTTTCACACAAGAGTAATCAATGTAAACAAATAGAAAATAAAAACAACAAAAAAAAACGTGTAAATATGGTGAATATGAAAGAACCAATATAAACTTTCAGCATTTAAAAATATGGGTAAAGTATTAGATACACACAAATCAATTTAATGTGGGCAAAGGTATAAACATAATGAGCAAAAACAAGTAATACGGGCAGACCAGTAAACTGTAACAATAATATGAAGTCAATGTGTGGGTATGCTTCTAGTATCTAAATAACGCCGCGGAGCATCTATCGGGTTACCGGGGCTCCGGCTAAAACGGCTCCGTGGTTTTTAGTCAGTAAGAGTCTTACAGACCCTGGACATTCGATGATTTCCTCCCTTAAGGCATTGGCTGCCAATAAAAAACTGTTGAAGGCAAATCCTCCGCTAATGTCGGTCACCGGTGACTGCCATGGCGTTTAACGTGTTAAAACAAGTATCTAAATAATCATTTATATAATGTACTATATTTTGTCCGCGACTTCGTACGCACAATCCCGTTCATTCCGTTCCTGTAGGATTTTCAGGAAATCTTCTATACTTACATATAAAAATGAATCCCTTTTTCCCTTGGTCACGGCATTACGCCTAAATGGCTAGACCGAATTTGATACTATTTTCGTAGTATTTGTGATTATAAGTAGAAGGTTCTTAAGACAGAAAAAGTCCTGAAAATCCTACGGTAACGGGAGAAAACGGGATTGCGCGTACGAAGTCGCGGGCAGAAGCTAGTATTTAGATAAAAAGTATCCTATGTCCGTGTCTGGTTCTAATTTTCAGCCAAATAAGTTTAACCGTATTTGAGTAATAAATAGTGTAACTAACACGACTTTCTTTTGTAAATATAATATATATAGATAGATAGATTTATGCTTTTAGTCTAAAAATAATATTTAATTTTCCAGATTAGGCGCAGACGAATCCATGTGATATGAGATTGTCATAATTACATGGTAGACCGTCGCGCCAACTGGTCAGAAATATTAATTTTACGTAGATTTTTATTATAATTATGCACGATACTGCTTAGATTGGTAATATTTTAGTAAAATATTATTATTTAATAATGCCTTGTTAGATTTTTTATATATTTTAGCGATTGACAACACTTTTAATAATGTGTAATAAACACGAACGTAATAGGAATGATGACAGGGGTTTAAAAATAAAAATCGAATGTACTAATGTACTGTAACGAAACAAACTGAGTACGTCAGTCAGAAAATGAAATATATTAGACACGAAGATAATTAAAATATTTTGTTTATTTGTCGTATAAGAAAACAATACTTAGATAAAACGAATTAAAGTTTAGAAGTGGGAGCTAGCTACGTCATTTCTAAGATGTATACAAAAGTAACGTCACGTGATTGACGTGTAATTAAAAAAGTTCAAATTAACTATATGACTATATTATACTAGCTGACCTGGCAAACTTCATATCACCTTAAAAATTACTTTTTCACACTTTTTAAACCTTCTCGAGACTTCCACAAATAATTGAAGATTAAAATGAGCCAAATCTGTCCAGCCATTTTCGAGTTTCAGCGAGATGATATAGATTACAGATTACATAATAACCAATCAATTAATAATTCTAAAAATGATGTCTATATTGTAACTTGTCTGTGATACCTCTTTTGTTGTAGGTTCTTAGAAGCTTTGCTACCGATAGTAGGATAAGTCAAGTGCCCAAGTATTTACCATAGTGCATTCATTTTAGTTTATCTAACTCATTTTACTACTAGTTAGAAAATAGTCTTATAATTATTTTAAGGTGACTGCATCGTTGGTCATGATATTATGATTATAGATTTTCGGATTGGAAGAAGTATTTAGCAGAAATAGTATAGCATGAAGTATAGATATGTCATTGAGACCATGTGCACTATTTAATACCTATTTGCTACCTATATTTGGAATACCTGGAATTGTGCCCGGTATATGGCAATAGGCTCACCCCCTATTACATGGGACTCATAACATAAATAGTGAAAAGTGGGTGTTACATTGTACAGTGGTATAATGTGCACCTCTGCCTACCCCTTCGGGGATAAAAGGCGTGATATTATGTTATGTTACTAACTATAGTTAAATATTTGTTAACATTTCGTTACATAATAAGATATGGTTGGCTGACCACTTTATTTCTGTAGAATAGTAGCAAATAGGTATTATATAGTGCACAATGTCTCAAGGACATATCTCTATTGGTCCCTATCCTGACGCTGACTGAAGTCTGGTATTGTTTTTAGTGATTGGCAATAGTCTGACCCCCTTATTTATTAACTTAAATGGCGACAAGTCCCTCTTCATTTCCGTTGGGACGTATTATTATACCTCCTCTGCTTATCCCTTTATGGCTTATTGATAACTTATAGTGTAAAATACTGCTCTAATTAAAAAAGCATGATAATAAAGTATAGAATGGTAAAATAGATTTTGAAAAACATAACATGACATAAGTACAGATTTTGCCATTTGGTTATTCGTACATTGAATAAAAGATGTGTGTGGAAGTGTATACCCTATGAATTGTATAAAACTTTAAATTTTCCGATGCGTATAACAAATGCTTGCGTTGTCTTCTGCCGTGGGAATGATGTTATCGAATTCCCTAAAAGCCGGCAATGCCCTTGTTTAATCTTCTGGGTGGAAACGATTGCGAAACGATTACCATCAGGTGATCTGTCGTTCCCCTAGCCCATAAAAAAGGAAATAAACTGCATATTACACCCGGGAGCAAAGAACCAGAGCTACCAGTTATGTTTGTTCATTTTATCGAATTTTATAATATAAAAAAAATATTTTATTTACAACAAATTGCTCTTATTTTAAAGGTAACTAAACTGCCGTTTATACGACATAAGTTACCAATTAATATAATATTGTATCAGGAAATGAAAAAGTAAAAACGTTAGTGGGTCCGTTCTTTTGTTCCCAAGTTTATATTCAAAACTGTTATGTATTCTATAGATAATATAATAATTATTAATATTTTTTCCAGAACAAGAAGACTGAGCCCCCTCCACCAAGGTCACCGGCAAAGCGAAAGTCTAAAGTTTAATAATATTGTTTTTATATATACTTTAAATACACAAGAAACGTCGTATTTTATTTTTATACTGACGACTGTAGTCGTCTGAGCGATGTGGATGCATTTCTATATTGTTATAAACAAATATAAGTTCTATAGTGCTCGTTCTACCATTTACGAGGATGCCCAATCAGTTTCGGGCTCGATCGGAGCCTATAGTCATGATGTGATGTTATGCTGTGTACTGAGCTTGAAGCTTATTTACTATATAGATAAACGACTTAAACAGGAATTGAATTGCGGTCTTTAGCTGTTGCACAGTTAGCTATTTTGTTAATTTTAAAATTGTATAAAAAATATTGTATTAATTAAGTAATAGCTATTGGATTTTGCAACTACTTTATCTAAACTATATGTGAATATCATTATTATAGAATTCTATGCAGACATTTCGGAGTTTTGTGCACATACATTTTAAAAGATCAATTTTTAAACTTACTTATAAAGAAGAACGAGGATCTCAGTTCTATATGAATGTATGTATATGTGATTGTCCGCCATTATCTCGGCATTGCCTGAACAAATTTTGATGCGGTTTTCAGACAAGTGTTTGTTACATTTATGAACTGAACTTGAAGAATACTTTATTGAAAATTATTTTTATTTATTAAGTTATACAATATAAGATATGCATCCACAACAACAAGAAAAACAAAATATCCTAATGACATAGATTTAATGTAAAAATTTAAAGTAAAAACCAGTTTCTATGAAATTTATTTGATTTGTAATCACACAACTAAGTTGATTTTAAACTGCACTATACAAAAGTTCAATGTTTAGACTAAACATGCTAAAATAGCCCTTAATGTAAGGAATTATGGTTTGATTTATCTCTGATAGGTTTAACTCGAGTTTTTCAGTCAATTGTATTGCCTCTACTCTCAAGCATTATATTGTTTGATGTATCTTTAATATGTCGTGGTGGCCCGGAGGTTTAAGACGCCCGCTTTTCATGCGCGGGTCTGAAACCAACCAACGGCAAGCACCAATGCGACTTTTTACAAGTCGTATGTACTTTCTAACAATATCTAGACACCACTGACAAACGGTGAAGGAAAACATCGCGAGGAAACCTGAGCTTATAATTTCTAATTATAGGTTTGAAATCGCCAACCCACATTGAGCAAGCGTGGTGATTAATGCTCAAGCCTTCGTGTGAGTTGAGGCCTTTGGTCAGACATGGCCACTTATGTTTGAGAGTAAAGCAGAACAAATGTTTAAATAAAGAGGTATTTTTAACTCATAAAGTAAATTGGGGAAGTGCAAGTAATGTTCATAGTTTATTTACTACATATTTGTCCTTAACATAATTTTTGTCAAAGCTCTTATTTTGTTAGTTAACTTCTGTCACTAGCTTCTCTCGCGTATACTGTTCCAAATATCATATCGATCACTTCGATCCGATTGAGTTTAAACGAAATACATACAGACTGTAGCTTTGAGTAAGAAGTAAACTGACAAAAAATAAGCTAAGGACCAGAAATTGGAGAAAATTCATAAAATATTGGTTCCATAAGTTTAAAAAATGCATGTAAAAACCAATCATTTTTACCCTCCCGTCTGTTTGTAAAGAATATCTTATAAATAGTACCTACGTTGACTTTAAAATGCAAGAATGTTGCAACCATATAAAAATATATGACATGAAAGTTTATTTTACATTGAGTATATTAAACTGTTAAAGTAACATTAAAATATTAATTTACAGTTTTTTTAGTCGATAGCGCAGTAAATTCACCCCCTATTACATGGGATTCATAACATAGGTGTTACATTGTGTGCACATAATTATGAGGCCTTAGAACAAATTTATTTTGAGGAGGAGACTGCATCCCAGTCCCCCTCGCTCCGCATCATGACCCGGACTAGGGCCAGACGCGACAGGTCGCAGTCGCCGATCACGTCGTCCCTGAGGGCACGGCGGTGATCAGCCCACGCAGGGCATTCCTCTACTGTGTACTCCCATGGGGGTAGGCAGAGTCTATGGAACGCCAATTGCTACGATTCCTACATACCCCTTTCACTTCATCAACAGTCATCAGTCTTTTCATGCATGTTAATATTTTAATGTTATTCTTTATATGGTTGTATTAGAAATCCAGGTTACAAAAATGTACCGAGAAAATTTTGACTGTGTAATTATATCGCCCGAAATTGATAACTGATTTTAATTCAAAAGGCTTGTTTAAGGTCGATTTTTGATAATAGTTCTTACTGCCGTTCTCAAAGTCAATTTAAGGGTACTCGACCCAGTCCTTAGCGATTATTTTCGGAACAAAATCGTTACTAAGGAATAGTTTATAGCCAAGGATATATTAGGGGACAATTGTCGCACGACATGTCAAGCGAAGCCGATTTCACATGACATACATTTAACAAAAACGTTGTTCCACAATAGGATTTTGTTCTGTGTCGTGGGTGCGTTTACAAACATATAAGTTCACATAAGACACCCAGATCCGGAACAACAATCTGTGGATCACACAGAGTTTTATACATAGCTACTTATGCCCACTGCGACATTGATGTTGCCGGACATGTCGACCAAAGTCCGCCAACGTCGTAGTACTTCACTGAACGTCGCTGGCGACACGTATCTCAGGACATTTGTCCCTAATGTATCCTTGGCTTTAAACATACTTTAGTCAAGTAATCATCACGGAGACTGGAATTGTGCCCAGTATATGACAATAGGCTCACCCCCTATTACATGGGACTTGTAACATAAATAATGAAAAGTGGGTGTTACATCGCACAGTGGCATTGTTCCATAATGTGCCTCTGCCTACCCCTTCAGAGATAAAAGGCGTGATGTTATTTTGTCATTAAATGTGTCTGAGTACCGCAGTTAGACTTTCTGTCAAATCGATATGGAAGTGTTGGATAAAGCCAGATATTAATTTATTCTGACAGTAAATCTCAGATGTGAACAGCTCTACGTTATTGGTTTAAAGTACAGTTTTTATTGTATTAGAATTATTTAGTTAGAGATAAATACTAGTTGTGTAATAAATAACATTGTAAATACTTACAATAAACATACCTACTTATACTATAAATCATTTTTTATTTTCGTACCCTTCAAAATCAACTTATACGAAACTAAACTAACGATATAAGAAACTAATTGCCCAATGGAGTTCTACCATTTTGTTGCGCAAATGTTTCAAGTATAAGCAAAGGTTTCATTGTCCATTCACTGCAGCTGTCACGTATTGATCGTCCAATGGTGCGATGTGAGAATATTTTAATTCCCTATTGAACGAAGGTTGATACTAGCACCATCTAGTGAGTTATAGTCTCAATTAACTTACATCATG